AGCCTGGTGAAGAGAGTGTTGGAGTAGGAAAGATGTGGGAGGGAGACAACAAGTGACAATTACGTGAGGAAGCAGTAGATAAGAGGTGGATAAGCAAAGAATGTGGGAGAAACCCTGAAAACAACAAAAAAGAGCTGAAGGGGCCCCACCCCAAGGGTATGCACACAGATCAAAAAGTGCACTATGGGGAAAGCTTTCACACTTTGAGAAATCATCCTGACTAGGTGCCCATCTGAAGTGCCTGTTCAGTAATGCACGTGCTATGGAGAAAAGCAGGATGAATTGGAATTCTGTGTGTAGTTGCAGGGCTATGATGTCATCGGGACCAAAGAGGTGGGGTGGAATTGGGTAGCTCACAGGACAGGGGTGCTGCTGTGGATGGATAGAGGCTGTTCAGGAGGGGCAGGCAAAGATAGCAAGGAGCCGGGGTTGTCCTTTATGTGAGAGAGCAGCGGGAATGCATGGAACTCTGCCTGGGGACAGCTGAGAGCTCATGAGTGGGTTAAAGGGCAGGCCAATGTAGGTGACATTGGGGTGGGTGTCTGCTACAGGCTGCCTGATTAGGAAGAAGTAGATGAGGTAGTCTTCAGGCAGCTGGAAGAAACCTCACCTGATCCTTCTGGTGGACTTGAACCACCCTGGTATCTGTTAGAGGGGAAACACAGCAGCATGCAAACAATCCAGGAAGTTTCTGCAGGAGTTCAGTGATGACAGCTTCCTGGCAGAGGTTATTGGGGAGCTGACAACAAAAGGTATTCTGCTGGATCTGATAGTTAGAAACTGTGAAGAACTGTTTGTGGATGTGAAGGTCAGGGGCAGTCTTTGCCATGGAGTTCAGGTTCCTGTGAGAAGGGAACAAGGCAAAAAGCAGGATCACAACCCTGGACTTACAGGAACAGATTTTGACCTGTCTGGGGATTTGCTTGGAAGAATCCTGTGGGATAAGATCCAGGGGGAAGAGGAGGGGTCCAGGAGAGCTGGCTATTTTTTAGGGATCACCTCCTACAGGCTGAAGAATAGTCCATCCTGATGTGCAGGAAGGCAAGCAAAGGTGGCAGGAGACCTGCACAGATGAGCAAGGAGCTCCTGACAAACTCAAACACAGAAAGGAAGCGTGCAAGAGATGGAAGCAGGGACAGATGACTCGGGAGAAATACAGAGACACTCCCTGAAAGTTCAGTGATGGGATTAGGAAAGCTGAAGGTAGCTTAGTGTTGAATCTGGCAAGGAATGTGAAGAGCAACAAGAATGGCTTCTTCGAGTATATCAGCAGCAAAGGGAAGACTAGGAAAAATGTAGTCCTGCTGATGAATGGTGCGGGAGAGCTGGTGACAGAAGATACAGGAAAAGATGAGATGTTTGACTGTCTTCAGGAGTCTGAAGTCCTTGAGACCGGAGGGAAAGTGGAGCAAGGAAGACTTCTCCTTGGTGTAGGAGCATCAGGCTAGGGAATGTTGAAATGAACTGGCCGTATACAAATGCATGGGACCTGATGGGAGACAGTGGCAAGTGCTGAGGGCACTGGCCAATGTCATTGTGAGGCCTTTCTTGATTTTCTTTGAGAAGCCATGATGATCAGGAAAGGTTCCTGAGGACTGGAAGAGAGTAAATGTCAATCCTGTCTTCAAGAAGGGCAAGAATGTTGTTCCAGGGAGAATGGTCTGTAGATTCATCTTCACCTCAATCACCTGAGAAAAGGTGATGAAGCAAATCCTCCTGAAAGCCATTTCCAAACATATTGACACTAGGAAGGTGATCAGCATAGATCCATGAAGGGGAAATCATTCCTGTCCAAGTTGATGACCTTATATGATTAAATGACTAAGTTGGATGAGGGACAGTAGTGGATGTTGTTTTTCCTGACTGTAGCGAGGCTTTCAACGCTGTCTCCCATAGCATCCTTACTGAAAAGCTGATGAAGTACAACCTAGATAAGAGGACAGTGAGATTGAAAATGGCCTGACCTGCCAGGTTCGAAGGGTTGTGATTAGCAGCATGAAGTCCAGCTGGAGGCCAGTCACTAGGGGTGTACTGCACGGTTTGTTACTGAGGCCAGTACTTTCTAATGCTTTCTTTAAGGACCTGGGTGATGGCACAGAGGGTACCTTCAGTAAATGTGCAGAAAGTAACAAAACAGGAATGGTTGATATATCATTCTGGACAACTTGCTCTAGCTGACCCTACCTGAGCAAGGTGGTTGGAGTATACAATCTCCAGAGGTTCCTTCCAACCTCAATGATTCTGTGCTTCTGTCTGTCCATTGCTGTTCGGCTATACAGGCTCTGGTTGTTTTCCCTGGGCTGGCACCGTAGCAGTCTAGCAGTTAGATAAGGCAAATCCATACCACAGAATCTCAGCATGGAAGCTTTTTCAAACAGATGCATCCCTACAACAATCCCTCTTGCAACAAAGGTTTTGGAAGTAGAAACTGGCTGTTGCTTGCAGTAACTTACCAAAACTGCACAAGGGAGTAGTCCTTGGTTGAGTGTTGAGGTTAAGTGTTCAGAGCAGTGCTCTTCTGTAGTGCCGATTGCTCAGCCTCAGCATCCTTGGAGGACCAAAGAGGAATCTGAAATCTCAAATTGTACTTGTCTAAGGAAAAGGAACCTTCTCTTAATAGAAGTACTTGTTTAAAATGAGTATGCAGTGACACAGAATTTGTTTGACAACTTAAATTGGAGGCTGAGAAGTTCATGCCAAAAAAGACTACAGCAGAGACATGGGAGAAGTTGTCTTGCCCACATTTCTGCATTCATGAGTGCCCTTGTTAAAGAGTTGGGAAGAAAGAAAAGTCATGCCCGTAAAGTCATGCCCACCCGAGGGAAAAAAAGATGTGGCAGCTGGTAAATCAAGATTACCTACCAAGGCACTCCAGAAATCAAATACACAGAAAAGTTTTAATTCTCTTGATTTTTGTGTGTCTGGAGTGCCCCTGCAAAACATTCTGCTGGTTTAAAATGTCACTAATGCTCCCAAGTATCCTTTTTGCTGATGCTAGAGATAAAGACCTTCAGGAGAGAAGCAGCCCGTACTTGTGATCTGTAGAATAATGTGCTCTCCCAATGTACCTAAATACAATCAGATTTCTTTTTACTGTTTCAAAAACTGGGGCTATAGTTGTATCTTGTTGTGTTAAGAGATATGTACCTTTTAGCAATCTTTATTGATACAAATAATACAGAAGAAAGAAACTGCTGTGGATAACTGCCTGTCAGCCAGAAACAACTTCTTGTCCGCTAAACAAAAAGTAAGCCTGAGGAAGTTGCCAGGTTTGCAGGATATTGCTACAAATGAGAATGGGTGTATGATTGTGGGGTAACTGCAGGTATGTTGTTCCACTCCTCCCAGATAGTAGTTTTGAATCTGAACTAATGTAATGAGTAAAATTTAGCTACCTTTTCAAGTAGAGAACTGATTTTTTATATATATATATAGTAACAACATAAAGTTAAGGAAATAAGGGGAAATAACTTGTCTGTTTGTCAGCATTAATGTAATGTAAACAGGCTAGTCAGTATTTATTAAAAAAAGGCAAAAAAAAGAAAAAGACCATGCTTTCAAAATCCTGTTCTGCATTCCAGTAACTGCAGGATGTGTTTTGTTTCCTTTTGAAAGCATTTCCTGGAGTGGTTGCCTGGCTCTCCAATGGGATAACTGCTTCATGTGCAGTGGCTCTGTTGATGAGAGAATACGCAAGCTGGGTATTGGTGTCCTGGGATGGGGCTGCCCAGAACAGTAGTTGAATTGAGCTGTGGCATTGCGGGATTTCCTTGGTTACTTGAATGTAGACTAAAGAGTATACTAAATGAGGAAAATACATGTCACTTGCCTGTTTACAAAAGCTGAAATGTTGAAAATAGTATCAGTAGCCTATAAATATTTTTTTTGAGACTTTTGGTTGTTAGATGCTTACATTTGCTGCATTCTTACCAGTCTTTTAAAAATCTGACTGTTGGTCCCTGTTCTTTGGATACCTTTTATAAAAAAGGTAGTATTACCCTGCCTTCTGACTGCTTCAAGGAATAAATATTAGATAAACTTGTGCAGAAGCGCTCTAAGTGGATAGAAAAGAAAACCCAGGTGAAACCTTTTAACAGTGGTGTGACATTGTAACTTGCTGGGGCACTTGAATGTGTCCAGTAGCAGATGAGTGCTCCAGATACTAAAACCCAACACCCAGCTTTGTATATTGCTGCTAAACCTAAGCAAATGAATGAAATCTTCACAGCCCATCTCCTCTGTCAGTGTCTCTGTGCAGTGTTCAGCTGTCATTGTGTTGAGTGAGGTGCAAAGATACTCAGGCTTTCGGGGAGGTGCA